TAGGAAAGCTTAGGGATATCTTTGCTGTATCTAAAGGAAATTCCATGATGGTTTAGGTATTTGGAGGTACTGGCACAATGAGGATGTCTGTGTTCCTCATGGATGAGCCTGCTGGTGCTTTTAAGCATTGGAAATTGGTATTCTCTGCTCTTTTCTGTGTCTCCTGTGCTCCCAGTGTCACCAGGGGCTGAGTTACAAGCAGCAGCAATTTGGTCAACCAACCACAGGGATCTCAACTGAGTTTGTGTCACAGAATTCTGAGGACAGATGAGTTCTGTAACTCCCTGAACCACTTTTGATCCTAGCACAGTCTGAGTTAATGGGGCACTAAATTACTAGAAATCACAGTTTTCAATCTGTTCAGCTATAATTCCTGTGTAGATGCAACCAGAAAGTCATTGATGATTCCTGAAAGGTGAGTGGCTCAGGGGAGTCTCACAGGTGCTTTATGAGGGAATAGTGGATCCATGGGTGCTTGGTTTGCTGTGTTACAGCTGATGATTTCCTGCTGTTCATTTCTTTAGCTGTTTTGGGGAGCACTCTCCATGGTGGGAATACCTCCTCTTTGGGAAAAGCAGAGCTTCCTTTGGAGCATCTCCAAGCTGCAGTGACTCCTCACGGAGTCTTAGAGTTGTCTTAGCACTCCCAAACAGGAAGCAGTTGTGTCATGTTCCCTCTGCTCCTGTAAGCTTAACTGCTCTGTTCCTAAGAATAGAGTTTAAATGGAATCACAGCATCCTAGTGAGTCAGGAGGAATGTGATGCTGCAGGTCACAAGGTGTGGTGTGTTTCTGAGAGGCCTGTGATGCTGTGAGGATGAGGATTGGTTAGGAATTCCAGCGCTGTTTGCAGGGATGGGGGAAGACTGAGCACTTGGATGGTGCTGTAGGCCCACATGTCTGTAACTCAGCCTGGTTATTCTCTGTGCAGAAATCCAACAGCATTCCTACAAAAGGCCAGCTGTGTGTGTGCACTAAGGTGTAGTGAGTAAAACAGGAGAATGAGCAGGTACAGCTTTGTTTGCTATCATGAACCACTGGCCCTTTGCTCTCCCACTGCAGTATCGTCATTTCAGCCTCACCCACTAGTTTTTCTGCCTTCTCAGAGCTCTTTTGCCTGAATTCTTTCCAAGGCCTCTCTTCTCCCTCTCTCTCAAAAACAGATCTCCTGTCACCAGCTGCTGGGGCTGAGCCAGATCCATGTTGACCCAAGTATATATTTTGTGCAGTGATGGTCACACATTGCCCTGCCACAGGCAGCTTCTGTGCAGCTGCTTTAACTTCAAATCAGCTGATTTCAGAGACCCATGGAGTGGTTTGGGTAGGAAGGACCTTAAAACTCATCTCAGCCCACCCCCTGCCATGGGCAGGGACACCTTCCACTAGCCCAGGTTGCTCCAAGCCCCATCCAATCTAGCCTGGAGCACTTCCAGGGATGGGGCAGCCACAGCTTCTCTGGGCAACACGTGCCAGTGCCTCAGCGCCCTGATAGGGAGGAATTCCTTCCTAAAATTTCATTATTTTTCAATAATATATACATTGAGAACATTTTCTGCAGGTTCAAGCCATACAGCAACAAAACTTCATCTTCCCCAGGTTCCAAGTGCTGTGTTGTTGGATCCTGATTCGATGTTTGGTTCTGGTCTGTAGAACCATGTGAAGTAGAATTTTCTGGATTGTCAGTGTAACTGGCAGGAAGATCAAAGTTGCAAGCAGCTGATCTGAGATAGAGATTATAGGGGCAGGATAATCGGATAAAGGGCAGTTGAAGAAATTTGACACTTAAAATACTTTTTGTAAATCTGCCTGTCCCTGTGTGTCCTTGGCTGCAGGAGGAGGGGGTGAAGCTATGCTGTGCTGGGTGGGATAGGAGATCTGGAGCTTTACTGTAGATAGAGTGGCTAATAACTGATTACCTGAATGCAGGTGAGGGCTGTGTGGGGAGATGAGTGTGTGGCACTCCTGGCTGATCATTAGTATTAGTTATCTTGTTTGTGTGTCATCTTGTTTGTATTTCATAATAACACTTGTTCCTCACATCCTGTGTGGAGAAAGATGATGTGTTTAGGGAAGACATTGAGTATAAATGGAGCCACTTCCAGCTGAAAACCCCAGAAACTGAAGATCAACTAATCGTCAAGATAATTTAGATCAGCATTAAATTGCAAGACAGTTAGTGCTGTCAGACAGCAGAAACTCCCCTTGTTGATTCAGCACTGGCTGCTGAGAGCAGGAATTCTCTCTGCACTTTTTTTCTTGCTAATTATGTAGAAATATGTAATGCTGAAATGTTATTTTGGCCTTCACATGTAATACTTCATTTCCCTCTTCCATTTTGTGGGTGTTTTCCTCATGAATCAACGTAAGATTATGGCAGAAAGCTTCATATCCTCAGTGCTGGGGTATGTGTGCACATGTGTGTGAAACGTGGTGATGGAGAGGAGCTGAGAGCAGCCTCAGCCATGGAATGGTGTCAGGCATGGAGGGGAGCTGAGTCCTCTGGGGAAGAATTAGTTTCCTTGCAGCAACTCTCATGTTTCTGGAATTTGTCAGTTTTTGCTTTAATGCTATTTATAGTGCAGCATATATAAACATTGGCCTGTGTTTAGGTGAAAACACAAAGTTTCATTTGAAATCTGGTGTGTGTGGGGCAGGTTCGTGGCAGCAAGAGTTCTTAAAGGTACTCAGGCACTTGGGCTTCCTCAGGGAAGTGCTGAGATCAGTTCACTAAAGATGTGGCTCACACTGTGAAGCTGCTTCTGTGCTGAGAATAGCTGAGAACAGCCAGGAGAGTTATCTTGCTTCTGAAAGTTTGGATTTGATCATAAACTTCTGCCATATGTTCATAGATTCACAGACTAGTTTGGGTTGAAGGGATCTTAAAGCTCATCCCAGAATGGAAGGTGTCCCTGCCCACCCCCTGCCATGGGCAGGGACACCTTCCACTAGCCCAGGTTGCTCCAAGTCCCATCCAGCCTGGCCTGGAACAGTCCCAGGGATGGAGCAGCCACAGCCTCCTTGGACAACCTTTGCCAGTGCCTTAGCACCCTCACAGGGAGGAATTCCTTCCCAATATCCCGTCTGTCCCTGCCTTCTGGCAGTGGGAAGCCATTCCTCCTTGTCCTGTCCCTCCTGTCCCTCTGCAGCTCTCCTGGAGTCCCATTAGGTGATGGAAGGAACTCTGAGGTCTCCCTGGAGCCTTCTGCAGGGTGAACACCCGCAGCTCTCCCAGCCTGGCTGGAACATGACCAGAGGTGACATGGCAGAGGTGCTCCAGCCCTCTGACAGTCTCTGTGGCCTCTTCTGGGCTTACTCCAGCAACTCCCTGCCTTCCCCATGCTGTTTAAATATGGTTTCAATCTCTTTTCTTCCTTGTGTGTTATCCAGGAGACCTCCTAAAGTTTCCTCTTCTTGTATGTATAGCTCTCAAGGCTAATTCCAGCTCCTTTTCCAGGTGTAGAGCTCACCTTCAGCTTTGGGTGTGCTGCCCAGGTGTATTGGGGTAAAACTTGGGTGATGTATTTCAGACCATGTTTCAAGTAACTTTGTCTTTATCAATGAAGCATGAAAGTAAAGATTTGCTCTCCATGGTCTTGTGATCTTTGGGAATGTGCTTCAAGTTAATGCTGGCTTCTCCTTCCCTCCCTCTTTAGCATAGTGTTGGAATTATTCACACAGGTTAGAATTGTGCTGCTTGTGGATTACTGTGAAAATCACGTGTTCCCTGAGGAGAAATGAGCCTGTGGGAGTTTGGGATCTGAGCATCCCTTTAAAGCCTGAAAAACCTGACAGAACCTTCATCACATTGGAGAGTTAAAAATAAATTTCTTAAACAAAAAAATTCCCCAAAGAGAAAAGCTCACAATTACCTAATAACTTGGGGTTTGGAAAGGAGGTTTTGTAATCAACAAGAAATACTTTATGAGTCATGACAGAATGATGGGGATGAGCAACTTGCTGCTCAGAGAGGGTTTCTGAGGGGAAAGGAGTGAAAGTGTGTGTATATACTCAACATATATATGAAATGTAAGAGTTTCTGTGCTTCTATGCACACACAGTGCTGCAAACCCTTGTCTTTGGGCCCCTCACTAAGCATTGCTCACAGCACAGCCCTGAATACCTGCCCCTGGTTTTACTCCCCTCCTGCTCTGTGGCTTTCCTAATGCTTACAGAATTGCTGCACAAAGATATTTTACTTTAGGATTAATTGAGTATAATTTGCTTCATACGGAAAAACTACCACCTTCAAAATGCACATTGAGTTTTCCATATCTCTTGGGCATCTAATTAATACATAGAAAAGAATTTCATAGGACAAGGTGGAATGGCTTTAAGCTGAAGGAGGGCAGGGTCAGATGGGATATTGGGAAGGAATTCTTCCCTATGAGGGTACTGAGGCACTGGCACAGATTGCCCAGAGCAGCTGTGGCTGCTGCATCCCTGGAATTGTTCCAGGCCAGGTTAGACAGGGCTTGGAGCAACCTGAGCTAGTGGAAGGTGTCTTTGCCCATGGCAGGGGGTGGGATGAGATGAGATGACCGGCCCTTCCCACTCAAACCATTCTGGGATTCTAAGACTTTATAGGATGTTCTGGGGATGCTGGTGCTAAATTAGACTTTTTTTTTCCCTCTTGAAGTCAGTTGCACAGTTGGAATTCTGAGAACAGATTTGGCTGTGACTCTCACGTGGTGCTCTGTCCATGCTCTCGGCCTGTTGTGTTGAACGAGAACAGTTTCTGTGGAAGTTGATGAATTATTTCTTTGTTTGAACATTTGTGTCCTTTGTTTTGGTCTTGGGAATGTGTATCTTAATGTTTTCATAGCTTGTTTGTTTTCTGAAATAACTTTTCTCCATGCTGTTAAGATTTCCAAGCTCTGAATGTAACTTTTCCCAAAGGTTTCAAGTGGGTTGGGTTATGGTTCATATCTTTTAGGCAAAAACATTATTCTCGTGGAGAACACAAACAACCTTTTCATTAAATCCTTTTCCTTCAACAGAATCTGTCTATGACCTTCTCCCAAAGGAGCTGCAGTTACCACCTTCCAGAGAAACATCTGTAGCATCCATGAGCCAAACAAGCGGTGGCGAGGCAGGTTCGCCGCCTCCAGCTGTAGTCGCTGCTGGTAAGGACTCTCCTCTATTCTGGTGATTTCTTAAGGCTTCTAATGTTCTGGCCAACATGAACAGTGCTGGCAAAGTTCTGAGTGCCCAAAAGAGCTTGTGCAGAAGTGACAGAGTTCATTCTAGGAGGATGGAGGTGATAGAGTTCAACTGGGTAATCTAAATTGTCAGCTGTTTGATGTTAGTGTTGCTGTGTTTTGTATATGTATCTTCATACTAAAGAAATGATCTGTTGTGCTGTTCTGTTATGCCACACAGGCTGTTCACTCCTAGAATGCACTCTGTCTTCTGAGGGATAAATCTCTGTTTGGAGCTAAGGCTGGCTGGCTGTAAGCCAACGGATTCTAGCTAGGATAAAAAAGGAATGGGAGGTGCCATTTTGGGCCATGAAGCTTTCACCAAAATGTAAGGAGGGAGAAAGGTCATGTTTTCCTTTAAGGCCTGAGGAAGCTCAGTGTTTGAGCTCCTTTCACACACAGCTCTAGTGTGATGCATCACAAAATCCTCCAGTACAGGAGTGTAAGGATGGCACTTAAACTGCTCAGTGTAGTTAATTTTCTAATTGACAGCATATAAAAACAAGGCATGACCTTTTTATCTTCATCTTTCTCTTACTCTCAGCCATGTTTTAGGCTTTAGTCCAAATACTCTGTCATTGGTCTTCATTAAACATAAAAAAGTGAGGATTTAAGGGCAAAGCTCTGGTTTGGGAGGTTAGTCTTAGTGCTGGTTTGCATCTGGAGTTCTTGTCAGTACTAGTATATGTCAGTAAACATCTGTGCAGTGAGGGAATAAAATCATTATGCCCAGGGCAGATGCATCTTTCTCCATTGGATAAGTTTTTTCCCGTTATTTGATCCCCGTTTTTCTTACAAGGTCATGTTCCACTTTCCTAATTGGCCTCAAAAAGTCAGTATTTAGGGTGAGGATTCAGATAGTTGCATTATTCCTTTTTTTCTCTCTCTGAGCTCATATGCATTAAATGTCTGTGTGAGAATGTTTCCCAGATTTGCATGGTTCAGGAATCCTGATCAGAACCTGAAGTGGTTGTAGACTTGTCAGAGAAACTTTACAGCACTGCTCACCATTCATGTTTTGCCAGACCTCTCCTGAGAGAACCTGTGGATTTAACTGTGCACAGTGGAACTTGGTCACTGAAAGAATTCAGTGGGTTGATTTATTACATTGAAAGGATTTGATGGTTTTATATCACTTATTCAAGAAATAATTTGGGCCTATATTTCTAAAATCAAAATGCTTAATGGTGGGTTTGGTTCAAGAATGAAGCAGCAACCAAATCCTGTAGAAACATATCTTAAACAAGGGAACAAACCCCCCATAAACCCTGTTACACTCTAAATCCACAGTCAGACCTGAACTGCTAATTAATTCTGTACCTAACAGAAAAGACTGAAAAACTTGAATGGAACTAAATGTCTGTTACCTCCAGGTATTTAGTATCTGCTAACTGCCAGTCCAGTTCCTTAAAAAAACCTGAGGTGCATTAGCTGTGTTTGGGTTAAACTGCAGCACCAGGTTCTGGAAGGAGAAACTCCACAAATGAGTGTCGAGGGGTTTTGTTAACACTGAAAGGAGAGCTGCTCCTTCAGCTAGGAACACTGTCAATGTCAGAGATGGTGTAGTCACAAAGACTAAGTTGATACCAAGCTGGGAGCTGGGGATGTTCACCCTGCAGAAGGCTCCAGGGAGACCAGAGGACCCCTCCCAGTGCCTAAAGGGGCTCCAAGAGAGCTGCAGAGGGACTTGGGACAAGGGTCTGGAGGGACAGGACACAGGGAATGGCTTCCCACTGCCAGAAAGCAGGATTAGATTGGATATTGGGAAGGAATTCCTCCCTGTGAAGGTGCTGAGGCATTGGCACAGGTTGCCCAGAGAAGCTGTAGCTGTTCCATCCCTGGCAGTGTTCTAGGCCATGTTGGATGGGACTTGGAGCAACCTGGGTTAGTGGAAGGTGTCTCTGCCCATGGCAGGGGGTGGGATGAGATGACTTTTAAGGTTTCTTCCAACCAAACCATTCTGGGATCCTATGATTCTATAGCACTGCTGAAAGGACACTTCATGTGTGCTGATGTCATTGGATCGAGGTCTTGCTCCAGCTTAGAGTTCTCCTGGATGGTTTCAGTGTGGATCTGCACAAATGTTTCTGGTGTCACAAGGAAAGGGGTGATGCAGGGAGGAGGGAGCAGCCAGAGAGAGTGCAAGTGGCTTCTCTGAGTGGCTCAGTTTGTGCTGGTTGAAATTGTTTCCTGAGCTTTGGAGGGCTTCCCTCAGCCTTCTGACAAGACAGTCGAGTCTCTGGGTGTGTTAGGATCAGATGTATTGAGCACTAGCTACTAGGCTTATAAAAATCGTTAAAAACTGTCTTTAAAACCCCACCAACCAACCTGACAAAACCCTAAACAGAGCAAAGACCAGTTTTTCCACTGCTGTTCCTGCTCAGTGAGGGCCTCTCTGTGGCACAGTGTTCTTGCTGCAGCTGCGCCATGTTTGTAGATAAAAGGTTGGCTTATTATTTTCTTTTATGGTTTTAGGATTTCCACAGTGTATTTGACACGTTTCCACCACATTTTCAAGCCCTCTCACCCTGCCTGGTGTAGTACCCAGAGGTCTGGGCTCTGATTTCTTACCAGGAGGATCAGCTTGGGCTTTGGGCATGCCTAGATGCTTAGACAGGGAAACAAATACCTGTTTAACATGTATATTTAAAAGATTGACTATTCATTTGCATATATCAGTTGCTTAATAGACTGAATGCAGATTTTTTTGGAAGCTGACACTGTACAAGTGTAGGATGAGGAGGAAAGAGGCAAACTGGTGTTCTGTATCTGAAGTATTTTCTTCGTTTTGTATAATTCTTTCCCTCTTTAATTTTATGCCAGCTCTTACTTGCCTTAAAACCTCCTTCTTTGGGAAGCGAGAGGGAAATCCTAGTTCAGACTCCACAGTGTTGGAGAGGATCTCATTTACTCATGAAAGAAAAGGCTGATTTGAGCTGCTACAGTGTGTAGAAATCACTTCCAGATATTACTCCTTGGATAATGAGAGGATTGTGGGACAGGGGATGATCCAAAGTGGTGAGAGCTTGTTACTACTCCTGTCGCAGTTAACACAGTTTGTTTTTTGCTACCCAAAACGCAGGGTAAGGCTGAAATTCAGCTTACTCAAGGCCTTTCTGTCACCTTGCTGTGAGGTTTATGTTCCCTGTAAATCACATCCTAGCTGAGAAACACTGCTGCAGTTAACTCCTCAGGTTTTTTGGAGGAGCAGGATGGGCTGGTTTTAGCAGTTTTGACCTCACAGGGACAGACTTCTAGTTCTCCTTCCATTGGGAAGTTTGTTTTGTGGAAGAGTTTGTAAGAGTATGGAAATGGAATGTTGCTGATTGGATATTCATTAATTTGTTAATAAATGTGTATCTCCTATTCATTAATCCAGACCAAAGAGGTGTCACCCACTCTCTGAGTGTCAAACAGGCAAGTATTTCACAGAACTCTAGGATTTTGAGCTGCTCTCTCAAGCTTCTCATTCTGTGGTTCTTCTGCAAAGCAGAAGGGAGGAAAAGGTTCTGTTTTTACTCCTGGAAACTGTTCTCTGTGCTCACTGTTTGAATTACAAGTGTCTTTGTTCAGGGCACAGGAAAAGGAGGATTTTGCCTGGTGCAGCACCATAAACACATTAAATATGAATCATCTTCCAGACTCTTGAAGTGCATGAGGGTGTCATGCTGAGAACTGTCATTGTAAGCTGTGCCTGGAGATCTCTTACATGAAACAAATGTGCCTGAAGCTTCCCTAATGCCTTCTGCACAGTGTGTGTGAGCTCCAGTTGCAGAGAGATGGTGGAGTCGCTTTTCGGGTTGAACAACTCTTTGGTGTTGATCAAGACACATTGAACCTTCAAGTGCTTAATAATTCACTCTGTTAATGTAAGGCCTTTCTCTAAGGTGTGTTTCTAGCTGGTAGGTAACACCTCATTCTTGTCCTTTGGGGATGATCAGGAGTATTTTCAACCATGTTCCTTAAACAGGTGTTGCTTTTTCATCTTTTATCTCCAGTACAAGGAGAGACCTTCTGACCCCCAGGGAGAAGAACTGGTGCAGAAACTCACTTCCCTGCTCTTCATCCCTCGTGCTTTCTGCAGCACATCTTGGAATGAGCTGCTGCAGCTTCTTGATGATCTCTCAGGCTGCTCTCCATTTCCCACAGAGGAAAATAGATATATTTCCATATTTTTTTTGTATTGCTTTCCAGTTTCCAGTTCCCAATCTCCAGTGGAATTCTCTGGAGTGTTTTTCTTGGCATAGCAAAAGGGGAACAGATTTTATGCCACTGAAATTTATCTGCTGATCTCTTTTCTTTTGCTTTCTTCATACTGGGATGCACTTAATCTGTGGAGGGGATTTTTTGGCTCCGAAACATGATTGTACCCTGGGAAAATGTTAGGTAAATTATGAAGCTTTACCTTTTTGTCAGCAATTTTATGCTTCTTTTAAATTAAAGGAGCAAACTACTTGTCCCAAACAGGTGTAATTGACTTTTTTGATCAGAGTTGTGACTGAAATATTGCCATAAGCAGTTTTGGTTATTTTAATTATGAAAATAAGGATTTGCTGCTCAATTGCTACCGGAGAGACATTGATAAGGTACTTGCATCATCTGTGGGGTACAGACTGGGTGCTAAGGATCATGTTTGCTGCTGCCAAAATAAGGCTTTTTCATCATTCTCCAACTACAGATTCCAGTAAAGCCTCAGCATAGAGATGGGTTTGTTTTGGTTTGGTTTTCCCTGAGTACCTACAGTCAGGCTTCTTAATTTTTATTTTTAATGAAAATATTTAGTCCATTTCTCATCCTTCCTGGTGTCATTAGTCAGTTTTTCCTGTTGATACAGAAATAATTACCAGCGATTTCAAAGGGGATCTCAGTTCTGTTACCCTGAGCTTATGATTGCCTGATGTAAACACAGGAGCAGGAAAAAAGAC